GAGGTGTTTAGACAATATTAGAAGCTATCGCTGCGCCAATATTTAGCAACGGACAGTTTCCAAATCATGCGTGCCCCGATAGGGTTGAGAGACAATCTAAATTTCGAATTTTGATCTCGTGAGGAACCGCGAGACGCACTCAGTTATTGATGCAACACAAGAAATTGAAAATGTCGCGAATTAGAAAAGATAGTAGGCGCAAGATTCGTAGTACTTCGAGACCATTGGCAGCGTTCGAGATTTGTGAGGTAGAAAGGAAAGTTCGTGAGGTGAACCCACATGATCTAGAGTTACATGTAACGACATCCGTGAGCGGGGAACTGCACATGCAGTATGGTGAGCGTTTAGCCTTGTGGGGTTGGCTTACAAAGACCGACGGGCAGGATTCTCGCCTCTCCAGCATACTCGCACAGGTCATCGTCGTTTATGCCACCCTTCTCAAGCTGTGCTTTCAGCGTTGTGCTCCTGGAGATAGGTATTCGGCATTTCATTTGATGTGGCAGGCAATTTTCAACAGAGTACTCGGGTATGAGAACATTACACTGGGCCCTGCCATAGATGAAACGATTGGTTTAGAGCTGAAAAATGTTTGGTGGATGAACATTGGTGAATATTTTAATCACCCAATGACAGAATCGCACCACGATGACATGATGGCTGTGGTTCACTCTGTGGCCTCCGCCTCGTTGCAACACCTCAGCATTGTTGTCAAGGCTGTTGCAACATCCATGGAAGCAGAGGACATGGAGGTTCGAGAGCAACACGAGGAGACAGAGTACGGGCTGTTTGCTGTAGCTGGTGGTTGCATCCAGCGTATAAAACAACAGCTATGGAAGAGGCCGTTAAGGCAGCGTCGTGCAACCAGACCACTATTGGATATTTTGTTTGCTTGTAAGTATGAACAGATCATCTTTTTTTTCTATTATTATTGCAATGATTATGCTACTCTTATCAAGAAAAAGACATTTAAAACAGCATAATAATACAGTAACACTTTTTGTACTGAAACTCAAATAACTGTTCACACATGCGCACTTTTACAACATTATTTACAACATTATGCACGTTTAATAACATGTCAGTATATGGACAAAATCACAACTTTGTACGATACGATACGCTTTAAAGCCCGGCGCACACATGATTTATTTTACTCGAGTAAAATGACGCATGAGTCAAATTACTCAACGAAAATCTACCGCACACGTGAGTAAAATGACGCATGCGTCATTTTACTTGAGTAAAATAAATCATGTGGGCGCCGGGCTTAAGATACTCGAATACACCCAGTGCAATATACGTTTGTGATATACATTGAACAGATTCGGACATTCGGTCCAGGTACACATAACATCGTAAGCATTAAATGAGTATCACATAATACGACAACACCATGTCCTGCTCTCACTCAGTGTTAGTGTGACAATCACAGTACTTCAAATGCTAATGAATCGGATGAACACCTAGAATGAATTCACTAACATTGCTCTGCATCGTATGTGCCTGGCTGTGCGAGATAGGTGCTAAAGGGCTAATCATCCAGCTATCTGCGAGTTAGCTCTCCCTAAACCATGGATTGACAAAGATCTCTATCTCTGTATCTGCCTATCAAGAGTAATAACAATTGCTGCAGTATAATAAAGCTAACACTATTTGTGGTGAAACTCAAATAACTTTTAGCACATGCCCACTTTTACAACATTCTTACAACATTATGCACATTTAAATAATAACATTCTGTCTGTATACATGGACAAAATCACAACTTTGTACGATACGATACAATGTAAGATACACGAATACACTCAGTGCAATATACATTTGTCAAATGTCGTACTAACTGTTGCAGGTGTGAAGACGAAGGAGCAAAAACAAGGAGCTTCCATACCACATGGATTGGCACTTCGTGACAGAGGAGGTCTCCTAATACCCCAGCGAGTCATGCTACCATGGCTAAGAAAGGTCGACAGGACTGTTCGTACGAACGCATCTGAGAGAGGACTGACTGCTCATGGGCGAAACCTCATCAAGGTAAATTCAAATGAAATACTGACAATATCTCATTCATGTTCGTACATATGATACAGTGGTACATCCCTATAGCCTTCGCCACTGGGATGTTTCACATCACCTTGTATGATGATGCTTTTCCTTGCTGACTGATAATTTATACTTGTGAGCTTACCACCCGAGTAGGCCTTTAGTCTTGAAAATAGGCTTTCCACGGCACTTCCGTTTATACGTAGCGGTGATATGAAGTAGTTGGGTCCGTGTCTGCTAAAGAAATCCTCGCACAACCCTCTGAAGCCGAAAATGGTTATTCTGAGGAGATCCCATGTTTGCCAGGCCAGAAATCTTCGTTCCTTATTTGATGATGGTTTGAAGTCTGCCAGATCTGTAAAATTTCAATATGGCATTTGTACAACAACTTACTGTAGCAAACGTTTTACAAATGTTGAGGTGTGTTGTACAGCGGTATGTAGCTGTATGTAGCAGTGCAAACAAAGGGGTTGCGTGGTACAATAGATGTATTGTAGCTACGTGTCTAGGAGTTGTGTTTATAGCAATGTGAGGTATACAGGCAAGCAGTGGGAGCTAGCATGTGAATCATTGGCTGGCACAGCTTTCTGAGAATGGTTAATGGTTACAATTCGATTTCATATCTATGTGGCTGGGGAATAGACTGAGCAGTTAGTGGTAAACATTGTCAGATGCACACGCGTGTGTGTTCATGAATCTGTGTTAGCATAAGTTTTGAAAATAATAATCATTCGACTGAAAATAATCCTGTGATTGATATTTATCGATCCTCATTACTAAATTATATATCTGTATTCTGTAAGCATGTGTGGCACATCCTTCCTGAAATGTTGGATCGCAAACTATACGCTGCATTACGTTTTGGTGTCACGGGTACATTACATTACCGTGCATAGGTATGTGAAACATACCTTCCAGCGAGTTCCGCCACCTTGAGAAATAGCTCCAGCCCGACATAATGTTGTCCAGTGCTTCGGGTGAATTTGAGGTCACTTTACTGTGCGACAGGAGTCCTCTCTCAAATATCATATTGCAGGCTGAGAGGTACGTGTGTGCAGCCATGACATGTCCACTGTCCCAAGGTGGACATGTCGAATATTCTGGTTGTGCATACGTAGCCAACTCAGCTAGTACACGCTCTTGCTGGAAATGTAACCAGATCTCATTGACTATGCAGTCACAAAAAAGTGTATCGTAATAAACTGTTTAGTTCTATACTAACCCATGCGATAGTGATGATGATCATCATCACTATCATCCGGCTTTAGTTTATCCATGCCTAAATTAATCATCTCCCGAGGATGTGGCATGTCTGAAAATGCGACTTTGTTGTCGTCTATGAACTTGTACAATCTGTGCATATTAATCAGGCAGCATACCAATAATGAATTCAACCATGTAGCAACCTGTACGGTGTACCTGCATTATTTTTGCTGGGCGCACATTCAATTTCGTCCATGAGTCACGGATAACGAAGCTTTTCTGCAGGCCGGGGACCATTCTCAGGCGGTTCTTGTCTCGCCTGTCCACTTCACGTTCGTACAGATCCTTGATGGCCTTCCACCCAAATGGTACTTGCTTCACCTTCTCCCCACAAAGTTCCAACGACACAAAATCCTTTGGACCTTGCGTACGTGAAGCAAATAGAGCATTCACCATGTTCTTCAACTGTAAGAAAAAAATCAATTGTTCGTTCAATGCCTTTGTTTGTCGTGTAAAAACAATTTATGAACGGAAATTATATCCAAAACGAGCCCCATAGAATTACTCTTTAAAATTACGATTGTCTGCTTAGTAATAATGACATATGTCAAGAGCAATGAGCTTTGGAGCTCTTGAACCAGTTCCGTTTCCGAGCATCAAACGATATATAGCATAGATCATAATTTATAGCCTGTGAGGGTGCCGCTGTGAACTAGCCACTGCTAACATTTGAACGTTAATGCAGCCAATGCACCAATGTTGGCTGGTACAAAAGACCACACATATCAAACAAGGTAACGTCACACACTCATACCTATTACGGTATGACTAACGTGCTTTAATATTTAACTTGCCTTCGCACAGAAGTAAAAGTAGCGGATGACATGATCAAAAACTTATTTCGTCCCTGAAAATTTATCAAGTATGATCATACCTGGTGGGAAGGACATATGACAATATGGACCTTGATTCGTGGCTGGAAAGGATTCGTGAACCATGGTTGGATGATATGAGTGCCTGGTTCATCCTTATATCGTCCTCGTCGCCCGGTCGTTAGGACTTTTGCTGCTGATAAGTTGGTGCTTGCTCCGTCGAACACTAGGCACGAAACGTGGAAACCATGTGCTTCGAAAAGTCGCATGGTTTCGAGCACTGACGTAATGATGAATTTGTACTGCATTGCACTTTCTGTGGCATAATATGGTCCGATAACATCGAAAGGTGATGTTAGGTCTCGCCACAAAAACTGCAGTATGTACTGCGCTGGTGTTACCTGCCGCTTTGCATCCAGTGTTTCGTATAGGTCGTGTAGAGAAGTTAACTCATTGTGAGTGAGTGCCAGTCCATAAAGTTCATGATTCTTACTGTTCCACATTAGTTTTCCAATCACTTTGACCTCATCAAGTATCAGAACCCCTTCTGCCTTGGGAGTAGCAGCTCCTTTAGCTTTTTGTGTTTTTATAAGTTCGCGATATGCATTTGCTGCATTTACTAGAGTGCTTTCAGATGGCCCACTAGGCTCGTAAGCATCCTTCATTTTGCGTTGAAGTGATCTGGTGCATGGCAGTTGCAAGATTTTGAGATCGGCCAATGCTTTGTAGGCCGCCGGACTCCTGGAGAAGATAGCCAGAGCTGAATCAAAAAAGAAACTTATTACTAACACGTTGGTTGATGCAATGTTTACAGCACAGTATGTGTAACACATGGCCTAATAACAGATTCTTTCTTTGCAGGCCACGGTACAGCAGGTATTCATCTCAAAAGAAATCGAAGATCTCTTCCTTGCTGGTGCCATATATGCCTGCCAAATGAAGGGTGTGAAACCTAAGACATCACTGTTAAAAGAACTTCATGGCATGTGGCTGCGAAAGATTGTTCATGCACGTGTTAATGAGTTCATCGTTGGACATCAGCTTCGAGAAGCAGATAAACAAGGTCTGCTTCTTACCAGCGGAGGGTTCACTCTACGCGATGAACTTTACAGTGTTGCGTCAAAAGTCACAGTCTAAAAGATATGGAATGCTATCAAGAGTAGATAATAGTGTTATTATCTACTCTTGAATGCTACGTATACCCGAATGAAGGAAGATTGCCAACAGTAATTGTATAAATAAACTATGCACAAGACAGACAGAAAGAGAGATCTTGTAAATTGCATGCTATTTCAAGTTTTGTGCACAAATTTAAATGGTTTATTTTGGGATGTTAATGTGTATTTTTAAATTTAACATTAATAATAATTACATTGACTACGTCACGAATTTTCTATGGGGATAGTTGTAAAAAAAAATTTTGTCATTTTTTTACATTAAAAGTAAGTACTAACAGGAGTAAATGTATCAACAAATTAAACTGCACTGCACGGTAACGATTTTAAACCACGCCCCTTAGGCCTAGTGACAACACCCTACTTACCCATGCGATATGTCACAGAACTCCATACATTGGACGTTCTTCCTGTACCTGAAAAATGTTCAAGAGAATAGGATAAATGTAGATAAAGTGCATGAGAAGTATACAGAAGCATTTGTATGTACATGAAAGCTAATAATTAGCAAGGGTGTATTCATTTTCTGTCATATTTGTTGTTTTTATGCAAATAAACGTTGATGAATTTAAAAAAATGAAACTTACGATTTCTTTCCTGATCTCTTTCCCAGCTGTGCCTCATTGCCGTCGTGATCCTGCTGCCAGCTTCCTGTTCTATTTCTGCTAGGAGTTTGTTTACTGGTGTTTGCCCTTGCTGAGTTTTTGAAAAAAACTCCACAGCCTTCTTCAACTCCATCCCCTGTTCCTCACTTAGGCACATTGACAATTTCTCCAATTTCTGGTCCAATAATTTAACCTTCTTCGAAAGTCGGAACGTTTTACTTAGCAGATTTATTTGCCTCCTGTTGCGGCTTCTCGGAGACAGCAGGCTAACAGGAAAACTTGAAGATGGCTTCAGCCGCCTTTTCCGGGTGGAAGCAGTTACTGCTCCGGCAGTCCTGTTGGCCTTCTTGAGGTTATGCATCATTTTTGTGCATTTCGTGCACATGTTGTGTTGGCGTTTGCGTGGTCTAATCATTCTAGTGCATGTTTTTGATTTATAGTGCACGAAAGGCAAATCCGAACGTCTGCATATTTTTGTTTCATATCTAATGTTTGGTGTAATCCGGTTTAAAGTTTCTTCATCTATTCCAAAGCATGTTGCGTAATGGAGCTTACTGAGCATCTCCTCCATAGCAGCATTAAGGATGCCATTTTCAGCCAAAATTTTGGACTCTACTGCCTCATCCAAGACTCGAATCTGGCCTAGCCCGAACTCGTTGATGAGTAGAGTGATGGTGTTCAGGGGCCCACCTTTGTGTTCAGGGAGATCGGCGTCCTTAGGTGCGATTCTAAGCCACCAGCCAGATGTTGAGTCGTACAGTTCATCGATGTTGTACTCTTGTTGATGTATATTTGCCGCAGCAGAAACGGTGTTAAATAAAACGGGCTTTTCGTGTAAGCGTTTTTGTTTAGATAATTTCCTTTTTTTAGCTGGGGCAGATGCAGAATCTACATGGGTTCTTTTCTCTGCTAACCTAGGTGATCGCCTCAGGGAAACGTTTGAGGGCAGGACGACCGATTTCTTTGGAGGTGTTCCTTTAATTTCGTACCCATGGTCGTGAGAGACGTTATCTGCCATATTAATAACTCAGGAATAAGCACAGAAAAGCTAGAAGTTTAAATGAACGTTAACGATGTGATTGTGAGTCAATTTCCTAGCTGATTAAAACTGCACTATGGAGTATTGTATTTTAACTACCTAGACGGGCACTGCTCCTCTTTCACTATTCCATATTGTAATAATCTTTATTCTTCCGAATCCTTGGTTTAGACATGTTTTGTTAACTTTTGAAGACGACTCCCGAAAATGCAGCCAAGCGCACGGCAATGTGTACGTGTGGTGATCGTGTTTGTGGCCACCTAACAACGGTTGCTATGCCTCCCCCCATACACACAACGTCTCGTCACACATACTCAGACACAGCTACTTAGTACTTATTAAAAAAAAACATTTTAGTTTTGAACGTGATTTTATTCTTAGCACTGTCTTACATAAGTAATAATAATAATGGCAATATAATATTATATTCTTAGCACTATCTTACATAAGTAATAATAATAATAGCAATATAATATTATTTCAATATTATAGCAATANAATTAATTAGACTAATCGCGCTTCAATAGACTCAAAATTCACAGAGATTAAAGCTAAGACATGTGTCTATAATAGCTAGAATTTATAGAAATGTAACTCAAATCGTTCGCCTCCATATGATAGTACACGTTCATACCGGTCATAGCATAGCGTATGCGGCGGGAGTGGGCGGGGTCTATTTTTATCCTCCAATCACATGTCGGAGCAATTCCTTTGTTTAGACACATGTATGACTGAGTAGCTGTTGGCCTGACACCAGAAGTTGTGGCTGGACCAGGAACTAGCAATGTATACCTAGAACAAAGTTCCGGCTTAAAATTACGCAGGTTTCGTCATTATTAATTTATTGTACAAGCACTCGCCCGTACGTCCGGGTGTAATCTCAGATCTATGTGCTAACACTGCTAAACTGACATCACGCAGTTGAGTAGACATTGCTCAAAGTTCGTGTTACAAACTAGTTAATTATTTGTCAGTTGGGGGAAGAATAGCTCTAGTACTATAGCCCGCGTTCATTAACTGCCGCAGTCAATGTAAGCGTCTACTAAGGCTGAGAGGGTCTATGTCCCCCGGGTACTGTCGAAACGTACCATGGGTACGGTCCGGCAGTACCCCGGGGGACATATAGACCCTATGAGCCCTACTAAGCGGGCTATAGCACTAGAGCTAGGGGAAGAAGGGATATGCATACTTCAGGCCAGAGGCACTAGTGAAGCAAAATTAAATTTTGTCCCTTACTTTAGTACATTATTTTCAACGAACAGACATATATATATACGGCCTTTCTCTGGCTGTAGCAGAGCGTGATTTGAATATGAAATCTCATAGCATACTGGTTCGGCATGGTTCAATCAGTGTTGAAGGTTGAAGCAAACTAGCGTGCACAAGGTTATGCAGTGTTGGCAAGTAGTTCTCGAGTAACACTAACAGTCTATTGCTGTTCACTTGCTCCGTGTTATTTAGTTGCCTCGGGCGAATATCTCTATCTGTCGTTGTGAATTAGTATTATTACGAAACGTTTTAACATGATAACGTGATGCATCATAATTATTAGTTCCTGTCCGTCACATGATGGACATGCAGAGCTGACAATGGCAGGGTATAAAAAACTGACATGTTCTAGTTCCACTGACAATACCATTTCCTGTGTTAGCGATTGTTGCTCACTGAGCACGAGGTAGCAAGCAAGCTGCTATGAATCACATGTAATTCGCAGTGCCTGTTTCCATGGTGATAGTAAATATTGATATATATA